ACAATCGTCAGAATTCTTTCAAGTTTACTTGAACCTTAGAATTAGCTTGCCATATATACTCTTAAACCCTTAATAAGTTTTAATATTTTGTAATATATAATCAACATACTTGTATACACTTTTAATATATCCTAGACACAAGTTTTATATATATATATATATTATTTTATATATACTTAATTGTAATATTTATTACCAACTTGTGGCAAAACTTCTGTTATCATATAATATGACACGTTGCACTCGTATGGATAAATATTAGTAATTCAATGACTAGACATATTCCATACTGCCTGATGATGGTCCTATGTGACCGAAACATGTAGCAAAATTGAGGTTTAATTGTAAACACTAAAAGCGGGTATACATCTGTTGTGGTGACGGCTTAACATAACTACTCTATATCTATTTCGACCTAGCTTACCTCTATTCACGCTAGTGAACAATACCACATAAACATCACACTCCACATCCTCCAAATCGAGTTACCTGATTTAATCTAACAGCCCTCTGCGCTCCTCTGCCTGCCACTGATCCTAAGTGCTCAGTACCGCTCAGTACGCTCAGTACCAGGGGGGTGTAACTGGCATAGGGGAGAGGGAAACATGCAGACCAGCCATCTAAGAACATTTACATGAACTACNTATCCCGCGCCTCTTGTGAAACTACAAAACACAGAGTTGGCCGGAGAGGACACAGCCTTAGGCTTGCTGTATAAGTTATCAAAATTGGAATTCTCTAACTGTTTGACCAAGCTTATTGGGTCCTTTCTTACTCAGCGTACATTCAGGGTCTCGGTTGAAGGCGAAATGTCAACGCCAAGGGAACTGCAAGCAGGGGTGCCACAAGGTTCGGTCCTTTCTCCTACTCTTTTCAATTCGTATATAAATGATGCCCCCCAAACACATGGTGTTCACCTGGCCCTCTTTTCAGACGACACCTGTCTGTATGTGACTGATCGCAAGGGGGTTTTATTGTTAGAAAATTCCAGTGCGGTCTCAGCTCACTGGAGACCTGGTGTGAGTGCTGGAATATAAAAATTAATGAAGATAAGACTCAGGGGGTCTACTTCTCTCGTGGTCGTCGACCGCCTGTCTTGACTTACTCTAAATGGAAGAAATATTCCATTTGTAAATAGTGCAAAATATCTAGGTGTAATCTTCGTTAAGAGAGTGACATGGAGATTACACAATGATCGAAGCCAAGGCCTTGAGAACATTCATTAGAGTATATTCCCTATTCAAAAGTGAGCGATTGAGCGCTAACATTAAACTGACTCTCCATAAAGCTCTTATTAGATCCGTAATGACTTATGCTAGTCCCGCCTGGGAGTTTGCGGCAGACACTCATCTAGTGAAATTGCAGCGCCTGCAAAACAAGGTTCTCCGCACGATTGGCAATTTTCCAAGGCGCACACCGGTCCGCAATTTGCACATGGCATTCAAAATCCTGTACGTATATGACTTTATAACAAAATTATGCAGGCAACAAGCAGAAGTCATACAAAATCATGATAATGAAAATGTTCGCAACATCGGACAAGGCGAAGCCCGCCACAGAAAGTATAAGGGGCTTAAACTTGGCAGCGGTCAGGCATACGACTGTTCAAGTGACGAGACTGCCGTGGTAGCGAATAATTACTAGGGTGGGGGGGAAAGGGGGGGCATAATCTGCTGTACCGACCCTGGACTAACAGAGGCCTTGTATATATTGTACATAGAAGTAAGGAATAAGGCAGCATGCAAGGGGCAAGTGGTTGAAAATTACTGGTGTAGAGTGCCAGAATATCTTACACCTGGCCTGTGTAGAATAGTCAAGAGGCAGTACGTTGTTCCTCTGAAATGTCAGTGAACTTGTATTTGACTGGGGCATGCAGTAGAGTAGTTGATTGAGGCACTATGCTAGAAGCTGGAAGGTCACAGGTTTGAATCCCAATTAGGTCACTGAATAATAGAATAAATGAATGGTATGGACTGGACAGGATTCATCTGGTTCAGGACAGAACCACTGGTAATGAAATATGGGTTACATAAGGTGCTGTGAATTTGATTAGCTACTAGATGGAGATGAGTAAAGGTAAATGGCCTGCAGTACTGTCCTTTACATAATTACAGAGTGGATGAAGCAATGGCTAAGAACAAATTTTACAAAAAGTGTCATAAAATGAAATGTCATGTATTTATTATAAACAGCACCTTATTGTATTACATTGCATACAAGGAAAATATTCTAAAACATAATAAAATCACCTTTCACACCCTTATTTCAGGTCCCATACAGTGTCACTCTCATAATAATACTGCTCTTATACTAAACCAACATTCATCTCTCTTATCATCGTTGAGAACTCTTCCTCTATATCAGTCACAAGAGATCAAAAGAATTTCTGATGTGAGAAAGCTAAATTTGTTTCCTTTCTCATATTATCTGACAATCACAATTATACATAAAAACAAAACACAATTCACTATAATTTTTATTTTGGAACTGATTAAAACCCTCATCATGAACGTGCAAAATTAAATATCCGATAGACAATAAATAACTAAAGAGTTCCTTCTACTTTCTTTCATGTATGAACTAATATAAATGATGGTATTATGTCATATGCTGCTTAATGCAAACATCACCTAACTGCCACTTATTTTTCTACTGTATTGCCTAGAGAACAGTATTGCTAATATCAAGTGTATGAAATAAGGTAACACAAAACTGCAACACTAACATTATAATGTAACAGCAAGTCTGTCACAGATGTACACATGTAAGGAACATTGACAATAAATATACAATCACAACACAAAGATGTAGCTGTCTTTTATTTATATTCAAACTATTCACTAAGGATAATGGAAGCCTGTAACATTAACAGGAACATATTCAACATCAAGTAAGGCTGCTGCCAACATGTCAGCAGTACCTTTCACTTGGCAAGAAAAAATAATAAAGCACATTTAATCTATAAGGTACAGAAGAGTTATATTTATTTTGGTAATGTATGTGCAAGAACTTGTGATATCAGGATCACTTTGAATTATGTCTGAAAGAAAATTTCACAAGCTTGGACATACAGACAGATAACAACACACTGAGGACCGGTCGCATGATATCATGATTTTAGGACACGTTAGGTTGTAACACACTATACATGCAATGGCATAATAAAACTCTCGAATGTTTGCTTACTTGTCAGTAACTTGACCTTGCTGTTTTCTTAACGCACTATAAACGAAAATGCTTTGCTGCTCTTCGAGCTGTATGTATCAGCTGGTAGTCGCCCCCAGGGCGACTCTCAGGTGATATGTGGAAACATACCCTCGTGAAAATTGTGAAGAGTGAACATTCCAAGGGGAAGCATCCTTCTAGGCAATGCCGCGTTTAAACAGTTCACAAAAAAAGGAGTATGTCTACATTTGCAAGTTCTGTGTAATGCCACTTCACAAAGCAGAATGTTTCCAGAAATATCACACCCTCAAGCACTTCTAGGAGCATTGGAGCATTTTAGTTCATGAAATTAATTAGGAGATTTTATATTAATTTTTAAAGTGAACAGTGCACAAGTTAGGATAGTAGGTTTAATAATGGCGGCCCCAGAGTGATTTAAATACTTAAATTGCCAGTCCGCAATGTGTTAATGATTTGCAGAGCAAGAAAATTGGTACTTTACGGGCTCCATTTAAAAAATAATGTAACTCTTCTGTTCCCTGAATACCCAAGATGATATTACATTTACTCTGTACTTTGCCAATATGTATAGTTGCCACAGTGTGCAGGTGTTATGGTAAAAAGGTTTTGGATGTGTTCTGAACCGTGAACCCCCATTCCCAATCTTTTCTTTCATTTATATCAGGAAACTACAATTTACTTTTCTCTGTGTTGTTATTCCTTCTTAAAAGTTTTAGCTACTATTTACTGTGTTATTGACAAGGAAAGCACCATATTCTGGGTGAAGAATGGATACTTCTGCGAGTGTGAAATAAAGAGCATGAAACCTGATATTAAAATAAATGATGTAATACATCACAGATGTATAGGATCAGTTATTCACTGTGTACTAGAGGCAGTGAAGTAAAGTTTCTGAATAAGTTTGGCTTGCCTTATACATTAATTTTGGCTTCCAGCTGTATCTGAATACTGATGCATTTTTGTCACGATGATCTTACAGCAATGTAATTTTTTTATTGGAAAAAGTTTTATATCTCAATATGGAGCAAAATCTGGGAACAAATATCACCGATACCATTCAACTGAAGATGTTAACATCCAGCATAAGGTGAGTGCATGGAATTTGGGAACCCAAATGCATTCCAGTCTTTGGTCAAAAGACAATTTTATTTTTTTACTCAAACCAAAACATGATGTATGTATGTACGTACATATGTGGAGTGTGTGTTTGCGTGTAGCTCAAAGAAGCCCAACTGCTAAAATGAAACAAAATTAACTTAAGTGACACTGGCAACAAAACTGGATGATCTGACTTGTGACAGGATGCTACCTGTAAACAGATTTAAGTACAAAACAGCTGCAAACCAGAACTAAGTAGACATTAAACCCACTTTTATTTCATGCATCCTGTTATGTTATAATATACAACTTCTTTATTAAAACCGTCACAACACAACTATATCGAGGTCAGTGCCTAGTTCTGGATATTAATGTTTACATTCCCTACAAATGGACAATACTTTGTAAGATGAGGCACCGACTAAATTATTAACATTAATATTACTACATCTACATCACGAGCCTCCAATAACAGTTTTTTATATACATACAAAATACAGAATACTCCAATACAATACAAAAACCAATGAGCGACTCAATGATATAAAGCGTCAATCGAAGAATTTTATTCTTGTTTTATACTGTAACTTTTTTCTTATATAATCTAATTTATTGTATTTTTACATCAAGTATTTTATATAATTAATATTACTGTATACAGTTTTGCTAGTACTGCAGTTCAGTGGTGTATATATGTTAGCCATGTATTTGCCAGATGATGGCTAGTAATAGCTGAAACATGCAGCAGAGCCAAAACTAGGCACTAACCTTGATATAGTTGTGTTGTGACGGTTTTAATAAAGAAGTTGTATTAAACCCACTGACAGCACATATCACATCAGACCACATTCCAAAATGGTTCTCTCAAAAGTGCAATCATAGAAGCCTGGATACCATAGAAGAAGAGGCAAATTTGTGGTCTGAGAAACAAAGTAATTTCTAATAACAAATGACAATTTATATCAGTTATACACAGTAAGTCAAAAGTAGTTTCACAAATTTAGAATCCTGAATATTATACACCCTACTCAAAATCCACCATCTCTTATGACATATATGTTTAAAACTTAAAAGGCATCACTGTCTTTCCATTCCCCAGACCTCATACGAATGGACCATTTCTTGCAAGCATTAATTAAGGATGAGGTTTACTACTCACAATTAACAACAAATGTCACCAAATTAAATTCTGCAGAATGTGGCAGGAAACAATATTGCTGGGATATCTGCCAGAACATGCTGATATGATGGAATTGATGACACAAAGATTCTAGCACTATCACAATGTTACTTCCTTTGTTCTGTTATAATAGTAAAGTACTACTATAACTATACAATATGTGGTA